AATGTACTTTCCAGGCACTGAGAAGGGCCTGAGACTTGCACCCGATGTCCCTGGCTGGTTGAACCTGGCACAAATCACCACCAGCACTGGGAGAGGCAGTCCTTCCTTTGGCTGCGTGTGTCTGCTTTCAACATTTCCTTTGTGCCAGGGCTAGTGTTCATGGGATCCAACTGACTTAAAACAAGCCTTTTCCTCTTTCTCTTCTGGCAAGTTAGTTTTGAGGCAAACTGGTTCCTTGAGCTGATTCACCATGTGAGAGCTGATCCCAGCATTAAGAGTAGTGCTCAAAATGCGAGGTTGGGCAGAGCCAGCCTTTCACAGCAAACCCTCTGACATAGGCTGGGTTAAAGTGATCAGTCAGTATCTAAGGGGAGTAAGGGCTAAGGGGAGTACCTTTGTGCTCCAGGAGCAAAACACTTGAGGCAAACCACCTCTGTGTCATTACCTAAATGAAACTGAGCTTCCAGCATATCCCTAAATTAAAAACCATCATCTGCGTAAGAGGAAAAAGCCGAGTACAACTCATCATGGTTATTAACAGTGTGTGTTCCTGAGTGGTCTCCTTGGTGAAGTGTTGTAGTTTGTGGGAGGTCATTCTCTTTATTTGAGATCTGGTGTGGCTCCCCCACAGCCCCTTGTGGAGAAGGGAAGGTCACAAGATGTTCCTTTGCAGGGTGAACTGGTAGTCTCAGCATAGCCCTTGCTGAATGTGTCACACCACATCATTTGCACTGGAAGTTTCCATGCAGGTTAAGTTTAGATGCTGAAGTGCCTCCAACTCCACCCACTCCAGAAGCTTCTGACATCATTAGTCTCAAAGTTGGGTGGAGATCTGTATGTGAGGGCTGTGCTATTTAATCAGGTATCGTGTTATCAGTCAAAAAAAACCAAGCACTACTTCATTTCTCTTCAGTGTTCAAAATAAACTTTCACTTTCCCTGTAGCATCACCTTATGAGTAAACATCAGAGCACTTAATCCCCAAGTAGTTTAATAAGATAAATGGTGTTTTATTGGCCTTTCTGGATGTTGAAGACTTTTAAAATAGTTTAAAAAATAGAAATTAATGAAGATGAGCAAACAGGAGGCCTGCCATTATCAGCATCTCTAATTCTGTGCCTGAACTTGGACTTGCATGTTGGAGTGGACCCAGCATGTGTTGTGAGCTGGACTCAAAGTATCTTAATTTTGTGTTACAGAAGCAAATCCTAGAAGTTCTCTTACTCAGTAGAACCCCAGCAGGGAACCTCTGGATTTCAGTTCCATAAATCCCCGAGACAGGGGCAACACAAACCAAATACCTGTGTTGCGTGAGCCGCTTGGATTAGCCAGCTCAGGTTAGCAGGAGTTCGTGGTTTAGCTTGTGTGAGGTGGTTTTGTGCTCACACTGGGACTGTATCAGTCTCTTCCCATGTTCCTGGATAAAAGATTGGAGAATTATTTCAAAGGTAATTATTCTTTAAGTTGAGGAATCAGCATTTCTTTCAGAAGAGTTGTAAACTGATTTATAAAGAAAGGATTTACTAGTTATTGTAGCCCCTTTCAGGTTGAACAGCTAATAGCACCCAGGTTTGACTGTAACTCCAGGTGCCATTTTTTAAATTCTATTGCCAGAACCTTGGAGAGTGGGGTTAGTTTTCTCTTTCCATTGCAGTAGTAGTGTCTTTATAGATTTTTTTTTTTTTGGGGGGGGGGGCAACTTATCCCATAATTAACTTAGAATTTTAATTCTTTCTAAATACTATTTTCATTTCTATGTGTTTGAGTTGCTAAGCGTTACTTTTGAAAGCTCTCCTTCCCCTTGTAAAAGAGCTGTACTTACAAAAATTCCTTCATGTACTCCTGATTGCACAGATAACTACAGAAAATGAATTTATGCCAGGTGAAGGCCATTTTTTAAATTAGATTGGGCCATCATGGGAACATACCTAGGTTGCTGGTTGGATTCCAGCTATGAAGATGGCAAGGTGTGGCACCACACAGTGGGAAGCAGTCAGAAGAGGAAGTTGAAGCCTTGCCAATACCAGAGTACTTCTTCCTTTTATTTCTGTGTCATGTTCGAGCCTTTTTTTACTGTATCTGCATAATATGACGTTTTTTACTTCCCGTGTGTCGTGTCACTGGCTTGGGTAGAGCTGCTTGTGCGGAGCTTGCTCAGGTTGGTAGAGTGGCTACTTTTCTTCTCTACTCCTTTCCGTTCCCAAAATCTTCAACAGCATTTCTTAATTTTAAATAAGTTCAGGTTTGTCAGGTTTAACTCTGTCTGTTGTCCTGCAGTACAGAAGTTGGTGAAATAGCACCAAATGACATGACCATCTTCTGTACAGTCATGCCCCAGGCGTTAGTCAGGGTGTTTGCCTCTTTTTTGTTTGCTTTTAATATTCTTAGGGTGTAAGCCAGCACCTGTTCAAGTTAGTGGCTACTCAAATTGACTTCAGAGGGAGCAGAATTAGACTTTCATTAAAAATAACAACATTTCATTTTGTTTGGATGATTGTCTTGTAGGTGGGAATGAAACATGTTTTGACATTGATGAAAAGCAGTGTGCTTCTTTATATGAAGATGGAATCTAGTTTCTATATGTATTTTTAAGTGTGTTGTTACAAGATGGAGTTGCAGCTGTCTTGTTCTCCTTTTTTTGCGCTGTTATGCTCTTCTCATCTGGTTAAAAACAGCCTAAGAGGAATCAGTATTGACCGAGCACTTCCTCTTTCAAAGTACAGATTTTTAAATTGTATTAAATCATTTATAAGAACACGTAAATTAGGAGCAGTTTTTTTTGCTGCAATGCAGTGAGCTGTATACAGCAATTCTGTTTCTTGCAATTATTGGCACACCACACCTTTCTAATATTCAGGTGGTTAAACAGATTTATTGGGAATTTGCAAAAGTTCACAGTATAGGAAATTATGTAGCTTTAACATTAGCATTACTAATTTTCTCTGTATCTGGTGTATTTTTGCATTGCTCTTAAGCTTTTAATGCTATTATTTATTTCTGAGGAAGCGGCAGCTGCGCCTGTGGAAAACACGGTGCTGGACTGGCTTTAACTTAACTATGAGAGACTTGATTGCACAACCACAAACTCCTTGCTCTTGATTCAGAATCAAAAGCTAGATCCGGATTTTGTCCTTGGCTTCTGTCTACAGGGACTCTGTCTACTTAGTGCAGAGATTCAATACCTCTGTCTCAATTTCATTTCTAAGAGGTTTGAAATTTGGCTACTGCTTGGGCTCACTGGCCAGATCCACATGGTCATCAATGGCCAATTCAACACACAAACGTAAGCCTTGGTGCCAGAGTGCCCTTGGGAGCTCGTTGCCTGCTGGCCGTAGTGTCGGAGCATGGGTTAGAAGAATCATTGGAGCTGCTGGGACAAAGTAGCATTGCACCCCTGATTATCCCTTCTGTGAGGTGCAATCTAGAAAATGCCCTTTGGTTTTTTTTATTCTCAAAATCAGGCTGTACCAAGAGGCAGTTGGGCTGCGGAGTCTGCCAAAGTCAAGTTAGGCTGAACAGCTGTATGTGCCAAACCTGTTTTCTAAAGATCCTATTTTATTAAGTTTTATTAAGGTTAGCTGGTGAAATACTTTAAATTAAAACACTTTGCTCTTCATATCTGGTAATACAGTCAGCCACCACCCTGCAAACTGCACTGACAGAACTCCTCTGTGTACCAGCATTTCTGAAGTTACCTGCATAGTTGCTGCTTGCTGGTGTATTTGTCTTGAAATATTGCAGATTGTGGACTTCAAAAAAGGAAAGGTGATTTGATTTGTTCTTGCAGTAGAGACCAGGAGAATCTGAGATATTTAGAGCACAAGAAAGAGTAAAAATGCCAGTGGAAAGTATTCTGAGTTCGGCACGTTTATTATTTCGCACTATCAAAAGGTGAAAGGAAGAAATCATTCAAGTGGGCACTGTGGAATCCCACTCATAGCGGGGTGGAGACTGACCTGGTGATAAATGTTAAAGGTCAGAGCACTGCAATCTAATCAGTACAGTGTGATCCCCAGACTTCTTATCGCAGGCGTGTGTAATCTTTTATTCTTGCCAGAGGCATTTGAAAGGGCAGGGGAAGGAGTGAACTTGAGAGGTTGTAACCTGTTGCCTTGGCACATGTTCACTTTAGGTAGTTGTGAGGAATATCTAACTAGCTGAGCTGCTGCTTTGAAAGACTTTGGAAAAGAGTGACACTTTAAATGATTTTAATTATCAGTACTTCTACTTAAATGAAATTAAATCAGTTTCTCGTTTTGCTAGCATTGAATGTCAGCATAATAGTTAATGTCAGACCTTAAAGGAAAGCATCCGATTCGGAGAGGGTTGCTTTTCCCAATTAAGCTGGGTGTATGTGAAATGTTCAGTAATCGTATCCCAGGTCCTAGATCTTTAAATTAACATAAGAGTGCACAGAACTGAAATGCTGAGCATGGGTTATGCATTATGGTGTTTTACACTAGGAGGAATATTTAAGGAAACAATCTTTTCTAGCAAGGGTTTGCTTGTTGTGTTACAAAGTTGTATCATAAGGATACCACTGATCACTGTTCTCAAAGGTACTGAATTGACACAGATGTTGGTGGGAGTGGGGGTTGTGTTGTTTCAGCTTCATTCTTGCACTTAGAACTCAGTTTCTAGAGGAGAATAGTGATATGTAGCAGATGTTGCTGAAAATCTTTAGCTACATCCTAGGAGTTATTTGTATTCAAAGACTTCTCTTTGGCAGCAGCATTAATTTAGTAAATTTTATTATGCACAAATGAGAGAGAAACAGGTCCAGAGGATGACTTTTAAACTACAGGTACGTGAAACTGGTCTGGCAGGCAAGGTGAGGAGACCAGATGCAAAAAACATCTGGAGAACTGGGACAGTTTTGCTTTGTTTGGTGAAGAGAAAGCATTAAAGGCTTCTGGGCCATTTGTCGTGTACAACGAATGTATCTTAAAGAATTACTGCTGGTTTTGATGACTAATCCTCACTTTTGTCTTTGCTGTTTAGTGCCTGAAGAACAGCTGCACAACATCGATGAGTATGATCTCAACGTCGTCCGCCTCTGCTTCCAAGCTTTCCTCCCCGACGAACACGGCAACTACACGTTAGCTCTTCCTCCTTTGATTTCCAACCCGATCTATGACAACAGTAAGTACCAACTCAGCCCAGTGTTTGTTTATTTTTCCTTTTGGTTTTCCTCTTTTGCTTGAGATGAAAAATGCCAGGCCAGTTTCTGAGGTCTGTGCCAGTCTTCTGGGTCAATTCTGTGGCCTGGGACTGCTAGAGATGCATGCCTAACACAGGGCAAGTCAGTGAGCATATACTCAAAAGATGATCCCAGGGTGAAGGGCTGGCCCACCAGAGTAAGGATGGCCCATGGCCTCATGCACAGGTGCTTTCTTAGCCCTTATTTATCTATCATAGTAAGGACTGCAAGGAAAGGCCAGCTTCTGACGTGCCAAGCGATTAAAATAAATAGTAGCAAGATAGATGGCTGTCATAGGACTGTTCTGTTGTCCACGGATGTCCTCTATAGCCTGTTTGTACCCATGAGGAGTTTTGCCTTTGCCTTGCCACAGCTCCAGAACAAGACTTTTAAGAATGGCAGTGGGAAACTGTCTTAATGCTTCTATGTATCCTTTTTGTATCACAGTCAGTTGCTGTTTGCAGTGTAGAGGGAGGTTTGATCTTGCTCCAGGTGGGTGCAGAAGTACACGAAACACACCTTGTTTTCCACGTTGTGCAAAACTGGACTTCCATATGGTTTTGGCAGGTAGCTTCAGTTGAGGATTTTAGCCTTCAGTGTGTGCTGGACTTCTCTCCTGGAGCAGAATAGCAGAAAAGCTTTTAATATTTGGAAAGTTCTTGGCAGTGGTTTTTATTTCTGCAGTGGAAATATTTCCATGCTAAATATTTAAGGTCAAGGGACACTACTTTAGTAGAAACTACTGAATAAAATTAGGTCTGCATTTTATATAGTTGATGTTAGAATTGTGTGGATGTAGGCATAACCATTATGAAAATGTTTAATATGAACTCAGGTGGTTTTGATATTTTTAGAGTCTCTTCTAAGAATTATCTGCAAGTTGGAACTGTGTGTATTGGGTTATCGAGAATCCTTGAAGTACTGAAGTACTTAAGGTTGAGATAAAATTGATGTACAAGATTTGCAGCTATGTCTCAGATGCCATTTAGAAATATGCCAAATCATGATTACTTGCCTGTGCTGATTGACGTCACTCTTTGCTACACTGCTGAAATGGCAGATAACTGTGTGGTGGGGGAAGCTTGGTTTTTTTAGTGTGGGTGTATGTGGGCAGCTCCTGATATACTGTAGGTATCTAAAATCCTCCATGTTACGTAGCAGCGGTGTAAATAAAACAGTGCATAACTGCAACCACAAATCAAAAGTTACACTGCTCTTGTCTAGATCAGCTGTTTTAGATTTAAATTTCTTTTTAAAGTGTTAGCCTTTTTAAACCTGCTCTGTCATACAGAACTGGGTAAGGTCAGGTTATAAATTTAGATAAAAGGTAAAATTCTATGGTACAATGGGCTTGGAAATACTATGTTGTTAGATTTCAAGCTTTTGCAGATCTGTCCAGATCAGGAGCAAAAAGGTATTCAGAGCTTTTCTGAAAATCAGCTTGCACATTTAAAATCTAGTAATTTTTTCACTTTCTAATACTTCATAGTCTCCATCTGCTTTGGATAGTAGAGATGCATAAGAATAATATGAACCTAATCTGAAAGCAATCACATTACAGAGACTGCAAGCATACCAAATTCAGTACTACAGGCAGCTTCTGTTTTCAGTTGCTTGTAACATTAACTGGTTTTGAACAGAAATTTCCCAAGTCGTGTATCTTACCACACTGAATACTCTTGGGAAGAGTCAGGTAAAGCAGAGAAATGAGGTTAGAGAGAACACATTGTTCTGCCCTTGTTGAAACGAGCAAGAAGCTCGTTTTTCTACATGTTTGTTACCAGGGATGTGCTTTTGGGAAACGAGGATCAGGAATTGGGCAGGAGGCAAGAGTTTGCACTGGGGAAGAGAGATGGGAAGAGGCCACAGGGAATGGCTCCCTCTGAGGCTGGCGCT